ATAAGTCATGCCACACTTGCCACAGTAGTGCCTGTCAAAGTGATTCGCCATGAACGTACCGGCACCGCACTCAGCGTTGGGGCACTCCTTCCTGAGCCTCTGGACCTTACCGGAATCCTCCACCTTGTAGAACTGGAGCACGGCGAGCTTGACCTTCTTCTTCTTGTGCTTGATCTTCTTGGGCTTGGTGTAGGTCTTCTTCTTCCTCTTCTTGGCGCCACCACGGAGGCGGAGGACCAGGTGGAGGGTGGACTCCTTCTGGATGTTGTAGTCGGCGAGGGTACGGCCGTCCTCCAGCTGCTTGCCGGCGAAGATCAGCCTCTGCTGGTCCGGCGGAATGCCTTCCTTGTCCTGAATCTTCGCCTTCACATTATCGATCGTGTCGGAGGACTCAACCTCGAGGGTGATGGTTTTCCCGGTTAGGGTTTTCACGAAGATCTGCATCGTTGCAGACTTGAGAGAGAACGCGCCTGGCCGCCAAGTAGGGCTGTTAATGAGCCGAGTCGAGCCGAGCTTTGCCATAGTTCGGGCTCGGCTCGTTAATATATTTCCAGGCTCGAGCTCGGCTCGTGTTCGTCACGAGCTTTAATATGCAAGCTCGAGCTCGGCTCGTTTATGAAAATGAAAGCTCGAGCTCGACTCGAGCTCGGCTCGTCAAATAAGTTTAACGAGCCCAAATTCGAGTTCAACTCATAAAATGTTCATAATAGCTCAAGATTGACCTAGAACTGTGCACAAAATAACATTCTAACCTATAGCAAAGTCTAGCAAAGTAAAAGACAATATTTATTCCAATTTCAATACATAAAATCCATGAATTCTAAACTTTTTTTATGTCAAACCATTAAATGAGCTTGTTCGCGAGCTTTCGAGCTGAACATGGTATGGCTCGAGTTCGGCTCGTTTAGTTAACGAGCTTGTTCGTGAGCCGGCTCGATTAAAACGAATCGAGTGTCGAACGAGTTTTTCTCGAGTCGCACACCGAGTCGTTCATGAGCGGCTTGGTTCATTAACAGCCCTACCGCCAAGGGGAAAAGGGTTTTGCGTGGCTGCGAAATGTGGGAAAAGAGGTATTTATATACGGCTTGGATACCTGAACTGATCACTGAACTTATTTCTCAAAGAAATTCATCACAGAAATTTTACAAGTATCAAATTCATCACTTAACATTTTCCAACTTAACATTTTCCAAAACGGGGACAAAATGATGATTTTATTAACTTCATAACTCTTCGTTATATATTTATAAACTAGCTATTGAACCGGCCCGTTGGCCGGATTACTTTAAGTTACCGATTTGTGGAATGGGGAAGTGAGTTAGAGCAAGAGAGCATCTATTTGAGTCAAACTCACAATTTGGGTCTATTTGAGTCCATATAATTATACATGTGAAACAATAATATCGACCATCTAGCTATACAGTAAAGAAAATTTCAAAATTTACATTAGATTTGGGTGTTTATTTTCTTCCAATTATGCACACGAATCAGAACGAAACAAAACTAAATATGAAGGGTAAATAGCACCGATTTAGGTGTTATCAATAGTGTTTGAGTTAAGCCGTCAAATGACTTTTCTCTCCGTTTGGAGTGCCATTTGAGGATGTGTTTGGAGAACGAATAGCTTTACCGCGTCCCGATCATCTTTCCTATTTTCCATCCCCCAAACAACTCTCTTCCTCGCGGATTCATATGGCAATGTACAAAGTACTTTTTAGCAAGTCATGAGACCTCAACACTCGTTGGAATCCGACATGTGTGGCAATCCATTTGTCGTTGAGATGAGTGTACGTTGGGAATTGGTGCTCGGGCAATAAATCTGACAATTACTTTCCCCACATGGGACCGAATCCGGGAATTAAATGTTTCTCCCACACATGGTCACGAAGGAGAGTCGCCTATTCGCAAACAAATTTGCAAATGTTTGGTGCAAAGCTAGTTTAAGTGTAAAAAGGGGATTGAAAAATGAGAGCTCCTACTTTGAAAGAAATAAAGAGCACCTACATATGAGTCCATTGCTTTTATTGTTTTTGATAAATCCCCTGGTGCACACCTTGAATCTCCAAACCTATTTAGTTGGGAGTTAATGGTTTCACATCCAGAGGAGAGTAAAGTTCATTTATCTCCTAATACTCTATTCCATGCAATGAAAAACTATTTTGCATACCAAGTTGATCTATCTGTCAATTACTCTCCTCTAATAATAGCAACAACCCCCATCGCTAACTTCTTATGACAGAACTAGTCTAATAAAGCAAAGAGTTTTTCGTCGATGAGGGAATTGGCTGGGACAGAAATGATCTTGGTGGGGGAATTATTTGGACCAGGAGAGAAGCGCGCAACAATCTTCTTTGTCCCTAGCATCGCCGTACTTCCACCAAGGAAGTCAACGAGACCAAAATATTCTCTTCTTGTAATTTCACTCGGTGTTTATTGGGTGGTAGTGGGGTTTATGTGGAATCTCATGGAACGGTCCTTGTTTTTGAAAATTGAGATGGGAAGCGGGTCTACAAATCAGTATGTTATTAGGTTGCTGTCGAGGGCTTACATCCATGGTTACAAATAATAATGGAAAGTTGGCAGGGAATGGGGAATTGATTAATTGTTGATGGAAACGTGTGAGAATTTTGGGAATTGCTTATTCACTAGTTCTTGTTATCATCGTGAATGGCACGAATGAGAATGGTGGTTAGAGCATGGATAAATTGTTGAGGAAGGGAATTTGGTTGGAGTTCCTAATGGAAATAACAACTAGAACGAGGCTTGTGAGTTTTGTGCATGGGAAATAAGGGTTAGAGTGGTGAGTTTTGTGCGTGGGAGATAAGGGTTAGAGTTAGCATAAATTTTCTAGTGGCCAATTTGTAATGGCATGTCAATTGGTGGTAGGATGGCAATTTCGACCTGATTTGTTTTATCCGACCTGTTTGGCCTGTTTTGGAGCGGGTCCGACCCGCCATGTAAGCGAGGCGGGATGGGCATGGGTACTTTCATCGACCCGACTTGCCCTGACCCGCCTCATTCTCGTCCCGTTCTTGCTTAAATTACATGTAATTTCTTTTATTACATCATAATTTAGCTATAATAAAGTTATAAATTAGTGAAAACCTCAATTTCTCTAAAATTTAACTACATTTATCATAATATTGTTTGTTTTCTTGGTCTCATAATAAAAGTAACGAATATTTCTAATATTTTTCATATAAATTGCATACCCATTGGGTCGACCTGCCCCGACCTGCGACCCATGATAAATTATCCGACCTGAACCCGACCTGCCACGGGGCGGATACAGGACATAGTATAGCACTGGGTCGTATTTGAAGAGAAAATTAGATACCATAAACAAAAACAAAAAAACATAGTTTTCATTAAAATGTCAATTGTACAAGACGGTCTTTTAATTTAGCAATTCGTCAATAATTCAGTTTTCATCAATACCAATAACGTACTCTCACAAAGAAAATAGTTAAGCAACCAGCAAGAAATTACTCGCTCATTTTGTTGCGCAATCAATCTTCACAGGTTTCATTGTTGAAATTTTTTTTTCCATACTAGCCGTTGAAACGGGCAACGTTAACGCTAGAGTAAGAAAATAATGTTCCCTTTTTATTTGATGCTTGAGAAGATACCATAATGAATTATCTTCAAATCTACATAATCAAATAGGACAACAATCATATACTCTCAATTTTCCAATTAACTTCCAAATTCTAAAAACTAAGTTCTTTACTAATTGAAAACAGGACAAACAGTGGGTTAATGCACTTCTTTCTCACAAAGCAGTGGGTTAATGCAAATAAACAAAACAACAAACATAACTTGTACACATATATATATTTATGTAATACAAAGCACAAACTTATACACATTCTTGCGGAGAAAGAATGGATCATTTTCACTTTATTGTTTTGGCCGCAAGGAAAGAGGAAGGGATGACTTTCGGGAATTGGATTCTTGTTACCTGGGTTTAGGTGTTGAGTTTTGGGTTAGGGAAGAAGAGAAGACTGGGCCAAAAGTGGTTAGAGGCCTGGAATTGTGGGCTATGTGACCTCAATATAAGGAGGAGGGCTGGGCCCGGGCCCAGTGTGGCCCAGCCCTGGATCCACCACTGAAGAAACCCACCCCGAACCTGCCCCATTGACATTCCTAATTGCTGGCCTACAGGATCTCGTCCTTAAAAGTCACTGTTTTGCTTTGGCGTTGAGGTCTTGGAAAGTACAGCGTAAATGGCCTTGCATGGCTTGTTCTAGGCGTTGGGACTAGAGCAAGTGGTTGAAGCACGTAGGCGAGATTCAAAGGCAAAAAAGTTCAGCTTAGAGCGACTATCATCCAAGTTAGTAGTTAGATCAAGCTTTTCTATATGATTACAAGGTGAGTGTAAAAGGGGTAATATTTTAGTCGTAGACAGGGACATAGCCAGAAAATTAGTTAAGATGGGTCCATTTATAAAATATAAATATATTAATATTGAAAAAAGATATATATATTTAATTAAAATAATTTTTTAAATTTAAAATGTGAGTAAATTTAAATTAGACAAATCAATACAACGAATGTAAGAAAATCAAATAAAAAATTTGAATAAAAATTAATGTTATTAAACGAGAAAAGTTTAAGTAAGAAGAAAATGAGTTTATTTGGCAACAAAAGAGTAAAACTTGCCTTAGATAAGATAAAATATTAATAGTACACAAATCAATACAAGAAAGGAAAGAAAATCAAATAAAAAAGTTGAATAAAAATTAATGTTATTAAATGAGAAAAGTTGAAGTAAGAAGGGAACGAGTTTAATTTGGCTATAAAAGAATAAAACTTACATGAGATAAGGGCTAAATTGCAAGTTTGGCCACTTGAATTGCTAGTAAAGTTCATGTTAGCCACTAGAATTACTTTATTTCATCTTTAGTCACTTAAATTAGTTCAACATTTCAAGTTTGGTCACTCTCCGTTAGTCTCCGTTAACTTTGGTTGACGTGGCAGTCAACTCTAAGAGTTGACTGTTAAATAAGTGACATGGCAATTATAAAATAAAAAATAAAAAATTTAGAACTTTTTACAATTGCCACCTCATTATCACAATAAATTAAAAATAAATAAAACAAAACAATTATAATTAAATTGAACAATTCACATCGGCTGCCACGACTACAAGGGCCTCTAAAGGTAGTACCTGACGCCGACATCTCCAATGATGCCAATGGCCATGCCAGTAGAGTGTCCGACGAGACCACAGGCCAATCCAGATGAAAGGTGAGCGTAGCCGTCGAATAGGTAGTACGATTTGGCCTTAGGATTGATCCTGGTACTAATGATGACAGCAAAACCATGTCGTAGATACCGAGCACTCCAGCCATTACAACTGGAACTATCGACTTCATAACCAGCTCCGGCCTCATCAATCCCATCGACGTCACTCCCACGCTGCTCTTCGCCGTCCCATAGGCTGCTCCCATACCTGAATCACCATTACCAAATCGATTGAGAGTCCAATTTTGTGCTTAGAAGAAAGATCCACATCTTTCAATCTGATCGCGGATCTGAAATCTGAAGAGATGGCGAGATTCGGATAACATGAAAAGACGAGAGCCGAAGCGGTGACGAGTAAGCCGAAGAAAGGTGTTGTTTCATCGCCACTGAACGTAGACATTTCCTCCGACAAGGGATTGTGAGGGATGAATCTGGTTTACCTCTCTTTGACGAATGCACGGAAGAACAAACATTGCGAAAACTTCCAATTTAGAGTCGATGCTAGAGCTAGAGGTTTGGCGGGAGCTTCCCTTGCTGGGTTTGGCCGGGGAGAGGGGGTTTGATGATGGTTTGTTCAATTTAATTATGATTGTTTTGTTTTATTTATTTTTACTTTATTGTGATAATGAGGTGGCAATTGTAAAAAGTATAAATTTTGATTTTTTATTATTTTACAATTGACACGTCACTTATTTAACGGTCAACTCTCGAAGTTGACTGTCATGTCTGCCAAAGTTAACGGAGACTAACAGAGAGTGGCCAAATAAGCTGTTGAACTAATTTAAGTGACTACGGATGGAATAAAGTAATTCTAGTGGCTAACGTGAAATTTACTGGTAATTCAATGGACCAAACTTGCAATTTAGCCATGAGATAAGATTTGAACTTGAGACCTCTCATTTATTGAACAACATACTAACCATATAAACCACTTTGATTTCCTGATTATATTTGAAAGTCCTGCTACTATACCTATTAGTTTATTTGTCGATTTTTCATACCCAAATACGAGAAATATTGTCATCTCCCTAGCCAAGTTGGGTCCGGAGACCCACCCAATTGTACTCTGGCTCCGCCCCTGGTCGTAGGTCTTTTAATTTACACAATTACTGTAACACCCCGACATTTGGGTTTAGGTTTGACTATAATAAATGAACGGTGTGATTGATGATCACGTACGAAAAACTCAATAAAACTGAACCGGGTTAAGGATGCCCAACTTACAATTTTATGGCTTGGTGGATTTCAGTTGTGGGTCCGTTGGAAGATAAAGAAAAGGAGAGGGCTCAGCCCATGGAAATTGACGTGGGGAATAGAGAAGGAATTGAAGCATGTTTGATATTGTTTCTGAGAGTGCTCATAACCTGAAATGACTTGTAACCCGACCCGAAACCAAATGAGTTGGGTCAATATTTGACTCGAAATAAGCCAACTAAACATGACCCAACCCGTAACCAGAATCACCAACCCAAAATTACCCAACCCGACCTGATTTCCCGGTCTATTTGGGAGTAAATCATATTAGAGATGATTGATGGAAATTGAATCTATTAATTTATCATTACTTAGGCATAGCAAACGGCTGAGCGCTTTTCTCCACGGGGGAAACAAAAAGCAATAGATCAATTTAACTAAAGGGTGGAGCATTTATCTATTCTACCACCCAACGTAAGTAGAGGGAGATGTGTAGAAGGAAACTGATGGAGAGACCCATGATAATGTGTATGGCCTTCGGGTCGGTTGGGAAGCTATTGGAGTTTGGGAGCTGTAGTGGTGACGATGAGTGATTGCGGTGTCATGGTGCGACTCAGAGACTGAACGCGAACGGGTGTGGAAAGGGGCCAAGTGGATAATTGGCGACGGCCGCCGCCTACACCGGCCTCTCCGCCAAATTGATTACACGGATTGACGTGTTGGTGTCCATGAAATTCATGATGAGAACCTTGCCAAGACGGGCTTATTGGCCTTCACGAGTTCTGATACAAAGCTGGGGAATACGGAGGAAAGGAGGAGTACGAGATCACATTATTAGAGATGGAAGCTTGACATCGGGGGAAATCCACCTCAGCGATGATTGGGGTTCATAGACTGATTAGGAAGGTTGAGAAAGGGTTAGCGGATGAGGATTTCGAGAAGAGGTAGGACGAGGCAAGCAGACGTACCAGCATGGACAAGATCTCAGGGAGTTCGTGTGGAGCCAGAGTTAGAATAATTTGATTATATAGTTTATGATTATGAGTATAAACTGGAGATTCTGGGTTAAGTTGTTTTAAGTATTTAGATTGTGATCGTCCAAGTGTTGGGGCTTTTCATTTTGAAATTATTAATCTGTGCTAGTTTGTTTGTTTTAAAAAGTGGTTTGGGTTGCTCCAGAGTAACCGGTTTTTTTGTTTAAATTATGGTTTGGTTTTCAAAAAAGATTCGGGTTGTTTCAACTACTTTAAGTAATGTTAGATCACTTTTGAGTTATGCGTGATTATATGTGTGAGGCATCCACTGCCTACCCAAGGTAGAGTGACTCGTCCCGAATATCACAACAAAATCGCACCTAAGGCCCAAGTATAAACCATAGATGGGTGCAATATAGGGCAAGTATGTTTAAATATCAACCCGGGCCAGTCCATGTACCTCTTCTTTCATTGTTTGAAACATTATCTAGCGGATTGGTTTTTGGTTGAAAACTATGAGGTTCAAATTAAAACAAAGCAAATGTAAATGGTTTGAAAGCTCTAGATAAGAAGGATCACTCGCGTGTCGCTTCCCCCTAACTACTACCACAGCACGTGGACTCGAATGGGACGTTATGGGCGAGGCAATCGTGAACCGCTAGGAAGTGCAACTATGGTCGAAGACCACACTCTCAATTGCTAAACCAAGGGATACATTATAGGCTACTAGAGTAGCCCTCTTGGTTAAGGCAATTGAGGGTTGACTTACCTTTTCCCTCAAACCGATGGTTGGACGGCTTAATCACGATTAACCTAGTCGTTTAATTCAAGATAGAGGTTTTCCCTACATTAACCTAGGTAGGTGGCTTGAAAAGCCCAAGGAATCCCAACTCAATTGAGCCTCTTTGGAAAGGAGGGTTTCCCCTCTAACCTAGGTTAGAATGGCCAATTAGATTGCTAAGCACAAACATGCACATCATCATGAAAAATACCTCAATCATTAAATTAAACTATACCCATAAACAATCATTCAATTCACACAACAACTACACGGAAAATAGTTAGGGTTTCACAACACTCAAGTGAAAAGGTAACTACTCCATGCTAGAAAGGGGAAGAACACAAAAGAAAGAAGTAGAAACCATCATGGCGATGCCTCCACTCTCCTTTGATCTTGTGTTGATCTCTCTAAAATCTGAAGGTACTTTCTCACACTTGGGCTCTCCCCTCTCTCTTCCTTTCAGCTCACGTTATATACTAGGATCGGGCTCAGTTCACAACCATGAACTCTTTAACGCGTCCGTGAACTTGGAGTGTTGTGTCGAAACGCACCGCTTCACTCACTTCACTTCACAGTCTTGGTGACAGTGAACTCACTCGGCGTCAGTAACCTCTGAATTCGCCCTGGACGCTTCGCGATTGACGGTTTATGGCTCCAGTTCACAGCCTTAGGAGACAGTGAATTCCAATGGGAAACCGTGAACATATCCTAAATCACTCCCTTCGCCCGGTCTTTGATCCTTTTCATCCAACTTTCGACTCCGGGGCTGGTTTCACCTGTTAGATCCTGAAACACACTAAGTGCACAAAGTGGCGAATCTCAAATGGCTATTGGCAATTAACACAAGGATCGTTGCAAGCAATACTCACATCCACCACAAACGTCATTCGAGGCTACTAGAAACGGGCAAATGAGTTCTCACATTGTTCATGAATCAATGCAAGTTTCAACAAGATCACTTACCAACAAAAACTAACCATGCATAGAGTTCAAGTCCAAGGAACAAACGGATGGGCAATAAAGGTCATCACGGGGTATGATATGACATGCAAAACCAGAATGAATCACTCACCCTCTTAACCAGTGGGGTCGAGACCTTTTGGTGTAAAGAATGTGCACAATCATCAACACTCGCCCCTATCGTCTCAACACCACGGCGGCAACCTCTAAATGCTAGAGTTCACAAAATGGTTGTCATCACTAGCTTGTCCGGAGGTCTTAGACACGGGTTCAAATGACTGGCGATTGTCTTGGACATGGTGAAAAGGCTTTTTGGGTGGTGGCAAACACATCAAGAGGTCCTACATCTTTGCCCTAAAACCGAAGGTTCTATGGTCTCGACTAAGAACATTTCTTACAAACAATGGCCACTAGCATCGGCCTAAAACCTCGCTTCTCCCTTCCAAACTATCACCCATCATGAACTTCCTTTAAGCGCTCTTCCTCTGTCTACTCTTGTTATCACATTTCACCTTGGTAGTGAATGAGTTCTAAGACATTGTGGAGGTTTCAATGGCTTGTGTGCCAAGAAATCTCACCTAGAGCATACTCTTTGATGCCTAGTGGCACTCTCTACTTTATTTACCCCGTTTTATTACCTCTTTTTCGTTTCTCTTTCTTTTTCTTTCTTTTTCTTTTGAGAGGGGTACTAGAGAGAAAAACACTTGCTACTTATACATTTAACGATCAATGCTCCCTTTATAAAAACTCACTCCAAAACTATCCTTCCTTTCACTTTCATTCCTAGCAAGAACCGCACACAATCCTCCTATGTAGAACCTCAAAAGAACTCAAAAGCGAGAACTCCGGGGTACACGACACACATATAGAGACGAAGAAAGGATTGGGGAATCGTTCTATCAAGTATCATTAAGAGCACAAGCAAAAAGCTCCTAACATGAGAACGACCCCCAAAGTCGCAAGGCTCAAAAGGGTTGACTAGTGGATAAATCATTTCTGGGCAATCAACATTTGGGCGTGGACTAATCCTATGCATCCATCGTACTCACTAGTGAAAACTGTGATGTTACTCGCCATGGTAAGAGGGATCTATGCACACAAGAAGAAAACGATCGGCTCAAACTCTCATGGCTACCTAGTCAGATAACCATCTATTCCAATTCACAAAGCAACATGCATGGCAATTGTGATAAACAAGTAATCGAATCAAAACATCCATTCATTTTTGCACACATGAGAACTAAAGCTTTGCACTATCCTAATGCACCTCTCATTCATCATCATAGGACATACTCGATCACATGCAACAATTCAAGGTCAATGCCAATAGACACGAAATTCTCCTAAAAAGCCTTTTCCCCATGTCCAAGACAATCGACGGTCGTTTGAACCCGTGTCTAAGACCTCCGGACAAGCTAGTGATGACAACCATTCCGTGAACTCTAGCATTTAGAGGTTGCCATCGTGGTGTTGAGATGATAGGGCCAAGTG